CACATGCCTTTGGCATGGGCATGCCTTGTAAGTGTGTACCGGCACCAATTCGCAAGGCAGAACACAGGCACTGGTTTAAAACTGCCGCAAGACAGCATCAGAGGGGGACCAGAAGTGAGTTCCTCACCACAGCTGAAACAGCGTGAGAAGGCAAATTGTCCTGGAAGAGGCAATTGGTGGAGACCTAATTTAGAGAGGCTGAGCACCAGAGTAGACTCAAAGGAGCCAGCATGATTACTGGAGAAGCATCCGTAGGAGGCAAAAACCAGTGATCAGAGTTGGATCGACGGCGAACATGAAAAACAAAAAGAAAAAGGAAAATAATTAAACCATGAGTGAGACAGTGTGGACTGCATTTAGGTGGATCTAAGCCCAATGTTTCTTGCATAGAGAAAGGATACATGGGACCAAATAAGAATAGAGACAATTATTGTGGACATTGTCACTTCTAGCCCATGCCACCATTATTGTGACAGAGACTCTTGTAACTGAGTGAGGCAAGACAAATATGCATCAGACTTGACATTGCGCTATCAGGGTGGCATTAGGCAGGGTGTAGGGGAGGCAGTGCCCCAGGTCCAAGCTACACTGCGTGTAGGTGTAAAGGCACTAAAGGAAGAGAGGTCAACATCATCCTCCCCAACATTATTTTACATTGAAGACATGGCAGGAAAGAACCCTCAGCAATTTTAATAAGCTACACTGTTGACCAAACTGTCAGTCCATAATATAGTGGCCAGTGCACCTGGATGGAAAAATCTAAGCGGTGGGCCAAAGACCGGCACGAAAAGTTACACCCTGCCCTCCAGAGTTTCTGCAGCTCCACCCAACTTGGTATCAAATTTGCTAAGTTTGTACTCTATTCCATTATCCAAGTCATTAATGAAAGGAATAAACAATATTGGACCCAGTACAGAACCCTAGGGAACCCCACTTGATGCCTTCTTCCAGATGGACTTTGAGCCATTGATGATTACTGGATATGTATGATGATCCAACTAGTTATGTATCTAAATCACAGTGAGTTCATTTAGTCTATATTTTCTTATCTTGTTAATGAGAATGTTGTGGGAAACAGTGTCAAAAACCTTGCTAGGGTCAAGGTATATTGTATCCAGTGCCCTTCCTCCATCCACAGAGTCTGTCACCTTGTCATATAAAGAAATCAGATTGGTGAAGCATGACTTGCTCATGACCTAGACAGAACACTGTACTAATGCAGCTATTCTGTTTCTAGTACCCACACTACTTTGAATGTACATTGAACTGCATTGTTCTGTCTAAGCATATTCCCAGTGAAAGAACTGAGAATAGAGCACCAGCCCACTGAGTATCAGTGCAATCCATGAACCACTAGCAGAGACTGCTTGCCCTAAGTGCTCTGAAGATGGAATTCAATGAGTGGATAAATAGGATTAAGCCATGGTGCTTACAACAAAAAGGGACTGGATTTGACTTGGAAGGTCCCTTTTATCCAGAGCTGAAGAGCTGTTGACAGACATACTCTTAGTAGAAGTTACCACATGCTGCTGATGCAGACAGAATTACTTATTTTGTTTATCTGTACATGTTAAAAATTAGATTGTTAGCTGTTATACAGCTTATCTTACATAACAAGTGCCCAAAGCCAGCTGGCTATTTCTAAAGAACAAGCTTCCTGTGTTTAGTCATGCTGGAATACTGGTGGAATGGACTCTTGGAGAATCTTTCCAGAAGAGGATCAAGATGCATGAGTCCACATTCACTAAATATCACAAAAGGAGCATTAGTAATAGGACCTTTGTAGTTGCAGTTGAAAAAAAGGAAAACAAAAGGAAGGATTCATATTTGACTTAGAAAAACAATATTAATTTGGCTTAGATTGATATATATTAATAGTAATGAAATAGACTCCTCCTCAGTATACAAGAAAGAAATATTAATCTTTGAATCTAATTTTTAAATATAAAATTCCTAATAAAATACAATTCTATTAATTCCCTTTTTCTTTCTAACCCAATTAAAGATGATGAAGAAACTACCTTTCAGAAGAATCAATACCACCCATATCCTTCCACAAATCCTGCCACAATCTATTTTCAAAAATAAAGCTAAGGTGAATATTCATTTCATGTTTCATTGAATTTATACCTACTTTATGGGCATTTTGAGACCAGTTTAGGTTTTCCTTGTCTCTGTAATATGTGTTTTCTGCAATTCTATCTTGGCATTTTTTGGGCGAACATAAATTTCTGAATGTGAAGTGATACAGTGTTGTCCCCTGAGTCAGGAAACAAAGAGCTGAATTAGTTTTCACTTGGAAGTAAATAAATTTCAGACATTTAGCCCAGTGATTCTCAACCAGGGTGCCCTTAGATTCTCTCAAAGTTTTTGTGGGGTACCATACAATGTTAGCATTATTATGTATGCAAGCATAATCCACAACATCAACCCATCAACGTTTCAAATAGCAATACATAATGTTAAAAACTTTGACTTGTTCTAGTCTTTCTTAGTTCTTTGCAAAAGAACAATTGTTCTACTGTTTTTCTACATTTTACACTTGTTTTTGACAAAATTTTCCGAGAGGTGACTTGAGTCTAATGAGGGATGTCTTCAGTCTTACAAAGTTCAGGAACACGGATCTATCCCCATGCATTAACACTGGCTCCTAATACTGATATTTTATATTGTTACTAGCAAATTGCCCATCAAGAATGATGGGGGGGGGAAGGCAGGCAGGGATGGAGCCCTGCATCCAGCCCCACGCCCCTCCTACCCCCTGCCCCTCTGGGTCCAGGCCTGCTCTACCCCCACCCCCACTGCTTTGGGTCCAGCCCTGCTCTAGTTCCCCTCCCCGGCTGCTCCAGGTTCAGCCCCGCTCTACCCTGCCTGCTTCTCTGCTTCTGCCTGGCCAACATCTGCCGCCCTCCCTGTCTGCCTGCCACCTCCCACTCCCTGCCGGCTGTTCTTGGGGGGCGTTGGGGCTGGGTGGTGGGGGGTGCCGCCACTGTGATCCCCTGCCTTCACCCTCAGGCAGAGAGGCATGGGGAAGCACTGCTTCTCAGGTGGCTGGGGCATGTTCACCACCACCACAAACTTCCGCAGCAGTAGCTCAAACTTGGGCTTGCACAGCCTAAGCCCAAACTTGGGCCTGTGCAGCCAATTGCCACCCACCCTCTCAGCAGCACACGCACAGTTGGCCAAAAGAATTACGGACAGACAGACATATAGACAGACACCCAGACACACAGACTGAGCCTTTTATTATATTAAAATTGATTCTGTACTAAACATTTTGGAAGGAAGCATCCTGCTAATGAAATAAAATTATATTAATGAAAACGACACTGGCTTTATTGGTTCTGTAAATAAGAATGAATTTTAGAACTATAAAAATTGTATTACTTTAAGATTTTTTACTGACTTTCAGCCAGTTAACAAACTTATTTACTTATGTTTTTTTAGATACTGCTGCTGGTTCGCAATCCAAAAGATACAGCTGTCTCTTACTTTCATTTTTACAATGATATGCCTTTACTTCAATCCTTCAACACATGGGATGAGTACTTTACAGCTTTTATGAATGGAAAATGTGCGCTCCATTTTTTGGAAGCTATTCAAATTACTTGGTATCTAGGCTATGCTTGGCACTGGGCTTCAGGAAAACCAAAGCCAGTTTCTAATATCAGTTGCCCTATTATCATTTGAAAATAAATTCACTGTGGATACGTCTACACATCACCCTACAGTGACATTGTTACTGTGCCTTGCTTCAGTACTTTCTTTTGGAAGTACTAAAGCATAGCACAGAAACTGCCCATACTGTGCTGTGCACGCAGAATATGGTTAATTCTCACTGCTAAAACAGGGGAGCATGCCATTATGGTGAAATAGCTGCCAGTCATGTGTAGACCCATGTCATCCTAAGGTGATGTAGCACATTGCTATGGTCATGTAGGGTGATGTGTAGCTGTGCCCTACTTGTATTAGGGTTGTGCTCGATTTATAGTGGTGAAATGTGAAATCAGACTCTGGCTTCAGAAATCACTAAACTCATTATTAGCTAACTAACTCCCTCTAGGGTCTTAGGTAAATTGCTTAGGGTAGAATTTTATTTCTTTTCAGTTGTCTAAGTCACAATTTTTTAGTTGTCTACATGGCACTTTTGTCACTTGCACACAGTAGCCATACACGTGTGTGCACATATATATATTTGCACAGAGTAAATCCTGGATTACTTAGATCTGGGTGGTTCACAACCTATGTATTTTGCAGCACAGGTTGCTGAATTAAGGGTATGCTACTTGGCTGCTTGCTGCAACTTTTACTTTAGGGGCTACTGCTTCTCCAGCTGGCTGGAGCTTATCAGTGGTTCTGCACAGCTGATCAGAGAAGTGGCACAGTTTGAAGTAAAAGCTGCAGAAAATAGCTGGAGCACCTCAAAGGGCCTGCACAGCTGTTTGCTTCAGCTATATATACCTCCATCTAGTTTGGAAACCGTTATATTTGCAGGGGGATAAGGATAAGGGAATAATCCTGATAATCTTACTGTGATAAGTAAGTATTCCTGATAGGTAAGTAATCCTGATATGTATTCACTTTGTAAATGGATCTATGCACAAGATGTTAGCTTAGAAATTCAAATCTGATGAATCAACTAAAAATAACTTCACACAATACACATAACTGATTTTTTTCTCATCTATGTATAATGTATTTGCTGTTTAGAAGGCTAAATGCTATCTACTGTTTCATATCTTTCAATAGCAATCTTTCAATCTATCAATACCTTAAGTGATCAGAGGAAGCAGACAGCTGGGGACTAAAATGTTTTCTTGTCTAGCTGTCCAGCTTGTTCACTAGATTGCCATGGTAATTAAGAATCACTTCCACACAGCTGGGGTGGTAGCAAATGGATGCTGAGACCATGTATTATTCCTGCTTAAAAGCAGCGGTGTAATGTATTGCCCTAGTTCTTTCTTCAGATCCTGTTAACTTGCACTGAAAAGCCAGCCTATCCTTACAAAAGAAGTATATGCTGGAAGTAGCAGGACACCATCTCAATCAATTTCCCATTTCATTACTCTTACATTTTTAATATTTTCTCTCCTTGTTTTCTGTAGTGACCTGGGGCTCCTATTTTGACTATTTAATTGAATGGAACAAGTATATTGCTGATGACCATGTTATGGTGATAACCTATGAAGAAATGAAAGAAGTGAGTTTAATGCCATTTAAGAGAAGTTTTATTTTGAATTTTATTTAGTATTTGCTACAGGAATACTTCATAAGTAGTAATAAGGTCACTATTAAGCCCATGCATGGCCTTTCCCCCACCTAAGTATAACTCAAACCAGAAAATAATTGCTTTATTCTACCTTTCAGTAAAAAACATTTTTTGAGCTCTTTGTACTGAAAAATCAAATCCCACAATGAAAAAATGTTTTTAGAGTTGTGATGAAAACCTCTCTTGATTAAACAAATAATAACTTTTTGTTTAAAAGGTTTAAAAAAAAAGACAGTTATCACTGAGGAAATGTTGCTGGGGATTTTTTAACTCAGTTATCCTTGCCCCTGGAAAGTAGGACTCAAATTCACCTTAGCCTTGGTGTAGGCTCAAATGCACCTTAGCTTTGGTGCAGACTTTCTATGCAAAAGCAAATTATGAAGATAAGAGCATCACTGAAACCTGAATCCAAAGGCAGAGGTACTTTTGAATATATGAGGCATACATCTACTACTTTTCACCATTTCCAATTAATTTTCTGGGAAAATGATCCTCAAAAGTCAAAGTCAGTAAGTTGCTGTAACAATGATCCTCTTTCATCAGCCTTATACATTCCCTAGGTTTTGTGTAAAATCCTTGAAAATCAGTGGCTTAAAAACAAGGAACACCTAAAGTTCCCATTGGCTCCATGAAGGGTGGAAAGCAGGTGGCATTTCTGAAAATCAGGTTCAATATCTGAACTGCTCAAATCTTTTAGTTCTTGCTCTAGGAAAACTTTGATTGTCTGCAAGGGAAAATTTTGCCTAAGAGCACTAGGATAAAGCTATATATAGTAGGCCTGTGCAAAGTGGATAGTATTTGCTTCAGATTCAAATTTGGCTGATTCGGGGGACAGTGGTTCAATTTGGTGATTTGAATCACTGTCCCGGATTGATTTGCCTGAACCTGATTTGGAGATTTGGCCATCGAACAGGGCCCATCCCCCACCCTCTCGCTCAGCCCTATTGTTGAGCCCCAGCTCAAGTCTGGGATCGTGCCCGGTATGCAAAAGCCAATAAAGATACCAGGGGTGAAAGTATAAAGATTTATTGCTAGCTATACAAGGTGCAAGCGGAATAATTTCATGTAACAAGCACACAGATTTTTAATTCTAAGCATCTTTTATACAGGAGTATTGGACCTTCATAAGCATTCTTGTTTGCTAATTGATTATAAGGGAGTGACGCAAGGAGTTCTTTACTGAGCATGTCTCTATACCTGTGTTTTAGCTATGTATCTCATTTCCATACATGTATGTTTCATTAGCATACTTTCTCCCCACCCAGGGGTGTGATTCTCAATATTCAAATCAGCTCTTTGCCCTAGTCCTCTGATTCTGCTTTTGTTTTCAAGCCTCCTTTATCTAAGACTGTCTCCTCCTTATCATTGCAGATGGGCATTAGTTACATAACAGAGACTTTTGCTTGGGCTTTGTGTAGTGGTTTCTAGGTCAAACCTGACATTTTCCCCCTCTGGAGCAGGAGTTAATGAATTTACTGTACCCTAATACAGATATACTGGGTGCATCTGCACAAGATGCATTACTGCACATTAGACTGATCTAATGCACAGTAAAGCATCAGCGTCTACATGTGTGCAGCAATTACTGCCCAGTAGATTAGTCTAATGTGATGTTTTCTAGTACCTGTAGACAAACTAATGTGCCAAAGCGCACATATAGACACTGACCAGGAGCAAATTGCTCCTCATCAGCCTAGGCAGTCGGGGGCTATAAGGGGTAAGCAAAGCTATCCTGGCTGCTGGGCAGCTGCCTCCCAGCCACATGGAGACTGGGACCCAGAACTAATTGGAGAACAATAGATTTTCATGTTTCCTCTTTGTTATGGTTTAAATTATTAAAAGTAATCGGAGACTAAAGTCACAATAGACCTTGCAAAACTCAAGTATTGATTTTCAGCACTTTCTGGGCAGCCCCTTGAAACGGCAAATAAATGCACTTATGGAACAAAAATGTTTCTCTACTTTGTCACGCAAATGGTCCAGGTAGTCTTCCGGCTAGGGAAAGCATGGGAGTTAAGATTTATAATACATTGTTTTATGTATCTGTTATTTACCTAGAACAGTATAGTTTAAAATGTCATTCCCCAAACTATCAGTCATTGTCCTATTTACCGTAGAATAGATGGATCAGGAAAACGGATAGAGATGTAGTCCTCTAAGGTAACACAGACTTACCAGAGCCAGAAATATTTCTTTTATAAAAATGTGATTATTTAACAGAAAAATGAAAGCAAAAATGACAACCATATGTATATCTAAGTACAGGATCCAATACAATAGCTACCTTATCTGTAGGTTTTCTATCTACTAAGTCAATATCAGGCCATGATCTTCTATGTGGGGCTTCAGCCTGGCCAACAGAGACACTCATCCAGTCCTGCCATCCCACAGATAACCACTCAGGCAGGCCTAAAGACTGGCTTAAAACCTTCAGTATGGTCTAACCTTCAGTCCACTTGCTATCACCAGAGTAGACAGTCAGGGTCAGTTGATGCTGCTTTTCCCCTATATAAACCCCAGCACAGAAACAGGAAGTGTCTGGGCAAGAGGGATCAACCTCATCTTAGAGTGCTTTGCTGCTCCCCCACAACAATCAGTCCTCAACTCCTCTCTCTGTATGATGTCCCACCTTTTTGATTTGGCTCATTCACAGACCATTGTTCTCCCCCTTACTCCTTGGTTCCCTGACCTGATTTATCCTCAGATCCTGCTCACCCAGCCCAACCCTGGTTAGCGCCTCAATCACCAAGTGGCTCCCAGCTACCCACATCCCAGGATAACAGTCAATGATTCTGCTAGAGTGTGGTGGCATCCTGGGGTGTCTTGAGATCTTTTCAAGGGTGCCATGGAGTACCACATAATATTTACATTGTTAGGTGTGCTAACATGATTCACAAAATAAAACAAAAGATTTTAAATACAAATCCATGTTTTTAAAAACAGTCTGACCCATTGTGGGTTTTAAGTGCTTTGCAACATAAACATTTCTCTATTATTTTTCTGTAGTCAAGAAAGTGAAAATATAAGAGCTGGTGTTTTCCAAATGGGTGCCTTGAGCCTAAAAAGGTTGAGAACCACTGTACAACCATTTTTTTGTGCTTGAAGTCTCTTATACCTTAGAAGCATCTGCAGGCCAGGTTCTTTGGGTGATATCTTTTATTAGATGGACTGAATAGTTGGAGAAAAGTTATTTGCAAGTTTTTGGGTGCAATCACCCTTCTTCAGACATAGGAGTTCTCTGCTGTTCTGAGATCTCCAAGGAATGAAAGAAGCTAAAGGTGTGACAGGATGGTAGTGAGAAAGTAAATAGGTGGAAATTAGGAAAACAAAAAGTAAAGAAGGGAAGGGAGGGGGGTAAACGAGGAGGAAAAAAAGCCAAAGGTAAGTAAGGGAGACTCTACTAGTAGTTTTCCAGGATAGAAAAGAGGCTGTCTGTGAAAAAGTAAATAGCTGGAAATTAGGAAGACAAAGGGTAGAAAAGGAAGAGAAGGGAGAAGTGGGGGAAAAGAGAAGTATAAGGCCGAGTCTGGCAGGTACCTGGTGAATCAGATGTTAGGCAGGTTGTAATATGCCATAACTCCAATGTCTATATTGAGTCTGTGATTTTTTGTATCCATTAGATTTATGAAGTGAAGTTCGTAATTTCATCTACAGAAGGTGTTTTGTAAATTCCCTTTGAAGATTAGAACTGAGAGATTGGAGAGGGAGTGATTGTCTTGTAAGAAGTGTGCCCCCACAGGTAGTTGGGTATTTTTGTCTTTGATAGATTTTTGGTGTGCATTCATTCTGGTGCACAGTTGTTGTTTGGTCTCTCCTACATATTTTCCATCAAGGCATTTGGTGCACTGGATGAGATATATAACATTTCTGCAGGTCATATATCTCTGATATATAAAAGCCCTTACTTACTTTGGCTCCCCCCCCCCCCCCCCCCCCCTCCCCCCCCC